CCCTATCTCTTTCCCTTTCTCTATCACGATCCCTGTCCCGGTCTCTGTCTCTCCCGCGTCCTCGTTCCCTATCATAGCCTCTATCATAATCTCGATCCCTATGCAAAGAAGCCAACAGGAGAGACATTTCAGTTACCAGATAACCTTCTTAATCTGTTGTTAGAACACAATATTTTGCACGTCATTTAACACATAACCTTCTTAACACGTCATATTTCTTATCTGGAAGGCGGAAATATATAATACATCTCAAATATCACATCGACAAGAGGAACAAAATCACTTAGATAGCATTTTGGAAGAGAATCAAGAGATTGTCATGAAATTTCAAACACCATTCTAGAAGTGCAAGCGATAATAGTTCAACGGTGAAAAGAAGCCAGAACAAAAGCTAAATTGAAAAATATGTCAGAGAACAAAAAGATGCTAATATATGAGTGTGAGCATGTTTGATGATTAGGCCTCAAATCCACAATAACAATGAAAGAAAGGTTGTACGATCCATCATACTTCTCAGCTGTACACTGTCAGTACAGAGAAACCTGGCAGGATCATAGAAAATTACTATAGGAAGCAATAGTAAGCCACGGATGGCTTAAAACGCCATGGTGGAGACATCAATGATTAATTGAATATACTAGTGTGAACTAGTCTGAACATATATAAAACATTAAAACCTAACAAACAGCTTCCATAATTCATAACCTAAACCTTCACGTTACATTTGAAATGAGCAAAAAGCATAGAATTTCCTCAATAGTGGCAAAATCAATTCACTTATTTTAAAGGATTATGATGTCAGTATTATAAACAATTAGAAATATTCAAAATCTTTTAATTAGATATACACGCACAAAGGAACATAATTAAGAAGGATTGAAGAAAGGCTTTCTACCTATATCTGTGACTGTCATGTCTTCTATCCTTGTCTCTGTCCCTTACAGGGCTCCGACCACGATAATAATCCTGCCCAAAAAACAATTTTCCACATTCAAATTTAAAAACAACCAAGAATCAGCATACCCAATTCAAAACCATTACCAACTAGCAACTAATGGAAAGGAAAAACATGTAAACCTTTTCATGAGCATCATCTTCTAGTCCATCATCAAGTTGCTCAGCGTCCTCTTTGTCTTCCTCCTCCTCAAAGTCCTCCTCAAGAGCACTCTTTCTTGGTTCCAGTGTACCAATTGACTCAAGAGTCCATCTGATACCACAAAAAAATAAATAAATAAAATACACACACACACACACACACACACACATATATATATATATATATATATATGAGCTTAAAAACTAAACTTCAACACAAATAGAGTTTTCTTTTTCTGACAAATTCAAGTTAAAAAAAGCGACCTTTTTTTAATCCTTGGCAACGCAATGTCACAGGAATAATCCTTGGTCAGAAGCTCATCAATAACCTCATCCACATGAGTCAAGGAAAAATCTAAAACATCAGAGCAAAAAGAAATAAAAATTGAACATTACAGTAAAATATAGATATATAGTTGCAAAATGAATAAATTAAGGAAAATTAATCTTACTTCCATCGGCTAATTTTCGCCTAATTTTACGATAATCGTTATAAAGAGGCTCTAGGTATTGGTAAACATCGGTGTCAGAGCCAGTGAGACGCAGATAAAACGCACCGAGAACTCGCACGTACCTGAAACCAAATACACAACAAAAACTTCAAATTCAATCACACGAAGAAGAGGAAGAGGAAGAAGAAGAAAATGGAGAGATTGCAGGCTAGGGTTTTGGTTACGAACTTGTAATCGTCGTTCTTGATGAACTCGATGACGATCTCCTTCTCGGGCTGGATCTGGAGCATCTTCATGACGAGGCACATGAAGGGAGTGGGCTTGCGGTTGCCGCCGAAGGTGCCGCCGACGTGGTCGAGCTCCATGGCCTTGTCGACGAGAGTCTCCGCCGTGAGGCCGAAGCACTGCTCCTTCCAGTAGGTGTTCTGGTAGATCTTCGACCGGACGATCTTCTCCACCAGGTTCTGAGGGTTCGTCCCACGTATGCTCTTCGCCGCTGGGTCCGTACGGTTCGCCATTGTTAGTGAGAAGAAACCAGATGGGAGCTAGAGAGAGAAACCCGCCTAATTTTTTTAACCCTAAACAGGGTTGGGACTTTACGAGAGATTGAGAAAGGAGGTGGGGAAGTATTATAGAGAAGATAAAAAATAAATTAAAAAGAAAACCCCTTTTCCTTTTATCCATTCCAAAAAAAAAAAAAAAAATGATACTACATCTCCATCCGCAATTTGTTACACGGCTAGTGTTGAAAGTTTTTTCTTTTCTTTTTTTAGTAGACATTATTATTATATTAAAGGAGAGCTTAGATTATGTTGATCAAAATTTATGAGATGTTTGGTAAAAAAATTTATATCCTAATTTAAATTATAATTCATAATTATAATCTTATTACTCTAATTTATAAATCAAACTTCTTCTCAATTTGTTGTCTTTTTATAGTAGAGTAACAATTTTGCCCTTAAATTCCTGTTTTATCCTTCTGCCGGTACTGCGTGGTCTTTCCGTTCCTCTCTAATTGGTTGATTTTACTGTTTTGCCCGTTCTCGCCCTTCATTGGGCAGGAGACTTTTTTGTATTTTTCCTTCTCTTTTCTTCTCCTTCTTTCCTTCCTCTTCTCCTTCTTCGAAGAAGCTACTAGGTTCTTCTGAGAAAAAAAAAAAAAAAAAACCAACCGGTTTTTCCTTTCTTCTTGGTGCCAATTTAGGCGCTCACAGTCTGATCCCACCAAACTCAATTTTCCATCCCATCAAATTCTCTCTCTCTCTCTACGACGCTGAATTCTTCTCTGTCTAAGATTGACAATTTCACTTTCTCAAACTATTTTGCTTTAGAAGGTACCAATCTCCACCATCTCTTTTCATGATGTTTTTTTTGTCTCTTCTCCCTTTTTTCTCCACTGATTGTTGTTGTTGTTATTTTCTTTAAATGTTTGAATTTTGTGCTTTTTTATACAATACCCTCTTATTGTTGTGCTTTTTTATACAATACCTTCTTATTGTTGTGCTTTTTCTGTTGATAACGTTTTTCAAGGGACAATTCTGCAAGTACGCTCCTTCATGTCTCAGGTCCATAATCTTCCTCTCATTTTCAAAGTTTTTTTTTTCTTTTTTTAATTTGGTGTTATATATGTGTGTGTGTGGTTGCAGTAAAATCTTTTGAATTGTAGATTTCTCATTATGAATGAAACTGTCATGCGAAACGAAATATAGGCGCTTAGAGGAAAGGCTCGGAGAAAGAAATTGTTGTCTCCAAAGGGCATGGATGTACGCCCAATAATGGAGGTTGTTAAAGGTGCTGCTTTTGGTATATTACAGGTAAAACCTGTGCATTTGTTCATAATTTTTCTGTGAGAAAAGGGTTTTAATCTATTGGGTTTCTTCACATTTGTCTGATTATCTATTTGCTTGCCAAATTATTATTATTCTTATTAAGAAAAGAATTAAGGTGATGTAGAACTAAAGAGAGAAGAAAAAGAAAAGGAAGGGAAGAGATTTAGAAGAGAAATTAGGAAGAAATTTGAGAAAGGAATGAGGAAGAAGAAATCAAGAGTGGGAATAATACTGAAATTGTATTCAATACTCATCAATTACATAGCTAAGCCTATTTATAAATATACAAGGTGATAATTGTACCTATATGTTTGGAATTTCTGTTTGTGGGATTCATTGGCTATGTTCTGATCAATGGCCATTTGCTTTCTATAATCAAAAAATGAAAAAGATTGTCCTTTACTTTTGTTAATGATTTATGGTTACCCTTCTGCCTGATAAGCTTAGCGGTGATTTGTGCTGTAGAAGGCTTTGTTGGTTATGTTAAAAGATTCAAAGGCTTTACGTGTTTATGAGGAATGTAATAGGGATGGGCCTGATTACTTTGATTACTATACATGTCAAGTTGTAGAGTTGCTATCAGAGGATGAAAATTCTCTACCTTTGACTTTGCAACCTCCCAAGTTACCCAGAAGAGAATTTGGCGAAGCCAAGGGGGATTCTTTATTTAGTAATGCAATTAATATTATGCTGTCGAATTTCCAAAGAGAAAGATTGAATTTCCAAAGAGAAAGATTGAAGGCATTGCTTCAACAAAGTGCGATTGTCCTTACTGCAGAATCTGATAATGTCTTCACTTTCAATTATGTAACAGAGTGATTTATAGCTAGATCTAGCAGTGCTTAAGTTGGAATAAATCTTGAAGATGAATGAAAGTCAAATACAACTTTTTTTGTTAAATTTTTAGTTTTTTTTTTTCTTGAATTGGTTTTCTGTTGTATTCTTTAAAAAATAGGATTAGGATGATCCACTTTTTAGTGTAATTTGATGAACATATTATCAACTAGGGAAGTACTTGAACAAGAGGCATGCTTAGATGCGTTGATCTCTATTATATTGGACTCATCGACCAATCAAATGGCACATCAAATGCTTTGATCTCTATTATGTTGATCTTTTTTTTTCTTTTTTATTTATTTTTTTGTATTGATTGGTGAGTTATCTGTAAAGTGACAATTGAAACGTTGCAGCCAACGTTGTTCGAAACACAATGTACGTTAGGATTACCATAATTTCTGTCACGGTTAGTTTCTAAATTTCAGGCTTTTTTACCCTTTATTTCTGTTTAAATGTGTGCTCTGAAATTGAATACTGTTGGTTTTATAATGTTTTTGTTATGTTCGTTTTGTTGTTAGGTTTTGCCAAGGAGTATGGTTTATGTGCAAAGTATTGTTGCTGTGTGAGCCAAACAATTGGAAGGTTTGCTTCACAAATATTGATGTTATTTAAATTACAAGGTAGATTGTGTTGAAAAGTTTATACTTTATGTTGAATTTTTGTTTTAACAACTGTGTTTTTCTTAACTTTCTTAGGGATTTGAGTGAAGTAGAAACTAAGCAAAAGATGCTTGAGGAGTATTATTTTAAATTCTGAAATTAGGTGGAATATAAAAGCTTGGTTTTGAATTGAAAATTGATGGGATTTGTTGGTTTTGTTATTAGGCTATCAAGAACGCTCGAGAAAGGGACGGGACGTCTCTACTTCGGGCTGTAAGCTTCCATTTTCTCTGTTTGGTGTTTACTTTCTTTCACTCTTTTTTCTAAACCAAAAGATGAGAGAACGAATTTGATTGTTGTGGAATTCTTTTTCTCTTCATTTGTTTTGTTTTAGAAGTTCCCATTAATGAATTATATGTATATTGTCAGCGTATTTTCTATAAAGTTTTAGATTGTTTTAGTGCTAATCTCTTCACTTCATTTTTCTCTTCTTCTAAGTTGGCTTTTTTGTGTGGGCAGTTGTGAATTTTCAAGCACAAATTCCTTCTCTCTTTGGTTATATTTCACTCTCACAGTCTCTCACACATTGACTCTGAGATCGCTTCAGCTTCTTAAATCAGGTATTTCTTTCTCTCTCTATATATATACATGTATGTATATATATTATGTTTGGATTTTTTTGTTCTCTTTGCTTTTACTATTCAAATCAAAACTTATTTGTCTATATGGTATGTTTCCTTTTTGATTTACACTACATTATTATATAGATATATCTATATGTATATAGGAATTGTCTCTAATCCGGTACTGGATTGGAGCGGCACATGTATATTTTCTTTAAAAACATGTATATTTCCTCTTAAAAAATGTATAATATGATAAGACACTTATAATTTATCTAAATACTATATACATGTTTTTAGAGAAAATATACATGTTTTAAAAGAAAATATACATGTGCCGCTACAATCCGGTACTGGATTGGAGACTTTACCTTTTTATATATGTATATATAAACTAGCCCTATACTATAAAAATTTTTAATTTTTTGTACAATGTGCGGGTTTTTGGCTAGTTATCACCTAAAGAATAAAAATTAATTGGAACGTATCCAGTTCTTAATACAATATTTTCAGTTTTTTTTTTTTTTTTTGACAGAATAGGCCTTCAGCATGCGAGAAAACATTACTTATTACAAGAGAACATCAATAACAATTTTACGAATTGCAAAATGATTCACTTCGAAGGCGTCAACGACCTCTTTTAGTAAGGACAAGGTATTAAGGATTTTAAGAGGAATGAAGAATTACAGTACAAAACAAAAACCACAAGGCGTTTTTGAATTCTTATCCAATCCCATAATTATCTTCTTAATTTCTCCAGCACGGGAGAAAAGCTCATAAACTTGCTCTTCTGTTGTATAAAAGGGCATATTCCCAATGTAGACATTGTTGAGGCCAGAAGTGCTTGTTATTACTATATACTTAAGGAGAGAGGGATTCACTGTTCATTAGACAGTAAATGAACAGTGAATTTCCGGATTTGTCCTTTGGCCTGCCTCCTTCCCTATCTGCCCAGGGGTGTTATGGGCATGTTCTTTTGGAGTGTAACTTAAGTATAGTTCTTGAGTTGAATTTAAGTTATAACTTGAGTTGAAGTTGTAACTTGAGTTTGTGTTTGGTTGTGTACATTTGAGTTATGGTTTGAGATAAGAATTTTTTTGAGTTTGTGTTTGAGTGAATCAAAACTTGAATTTGTATTTAGATAGTATTTTAATAAAAACTCAATGGTGATGAAAAATTTTAATAGGGTATATAGGTGGAGTTTTATTCGTTTTTTCGTTGTCAACGCATAGAAAAAAAATCATCTCAATTAAGATTAAAACGAAAAAGTTTATAGCATTTTTAAGAATAAAAAAAATACTTTTTATTAATTTGAGTTTGAGTTTCTGAACTCGAGTTAAAGGGGAAACTTGAACTCGAGTTTTAGTTCCAAACTCGAGTTCAGACTTAAAAAATCATGAACTTGAATAAAATTGGAACTCGAGTTACCTTTTTTAAAATTTTTGAGACTGCCGAGCAAGGCCATAAGTCTTTTTGTTGTTAATGTTTTGAATTTACGCTTTTGTCCTTGCCTGTTTACTTCGCGGTTTGCCTTGGCTTGGGTCTTTTTCGTCATTTTGGTGTGACTGAGGCTTTAGCCTCGGTGGTTTTGTTCTTGGCTTCTTTTCTCTCATTTCTTTTGCGACGAGACGCTACTCCCAATTGCTTCTCTCTCGATTTGGTGATTGTGGTTGGTTCTTTGATTCCGTTTGGCCAGAAGTGAACCTCCATGTTTTTATGTGATATTTGTTGTGGGTTCTTTGATTTCTTTCTTGCGGGATTTTGGCTTGATTTTTGGATGCTTTTCGTTGGCCGCGCTTTCATTTTGCTTCGTTTTGTTGCAGGTTTTTTGAATATTTTTCTTGCATGCTTCTTTGTTGGTCTGATTTCCTCATTTAGTTTGGTTTCCCCTTTGTTCTTTGTCGAGTCCATGTTATGTTATTTTCTACATTTTTTTCATTTTTTTCTTTTTTTGATTGGGTTTTGTCTTTGTTGGTTTGATTTGCTGATTTAGTTTGTTTTCCCCTCTATTTTTAGTCGACTCTATGTCCTGCTTTTTTCTTTTTACCTTTTTTCCTTTTCGTTTTTCTTTACTTTTTTTGGCTTTTGTTTCAGTGGTTTTTCCTTTCTTTTTGTTTGTTGTTCTCTTTTGTCGTTGGCCTGCTTCAGGAGATAAATTTTTATTTTTTTCTTTTGTTTCGGTGATTTTTCCTTTCTTTTTGTTTTTTGTTCTCTTTTGTCATTGGTCTACTTCAGGAGATAAATTTGTGCAGAAAGAAGGTTTTATGAGCATCTTTTGATGTCTTTGTTGCCGACTTCATCTGGTATATAGGTTAACAACAATTTTTTTTATTTGGATTGATTAATTTGTTGATCTGTGATATTTAGACTGCTGATTTAGCTACTTAGGTTGATGATCTGTACCCCTATTATTGCAGAGGCATTAACTACTTAGGTTGATGATCTGTACCCATATTGTTATAGAGGCATTAAATGAACTGTTTCTTTTTTCTCTTTATCATTATATCTAATTCCTAAAATTAGTGAAAAATCTAGAAAAAATTGAGAACTTTTCCTTTCTGCTTCTTTCCCTTTTTTTCCCTTTTCCCGTTTCCTGAACTCATCATTATTTATTTATTATTTGGTTTTTACTTAGTACACCCGTAGGTTGCTTCTGCCATCTGATTAAGTAATCTTGCTTCCTTAGGTTTTGCAGACTGACTTTATTTTGCTACGCGTGCTCTTACACATCATGTACTGTTGAAATTTTTTTCCTCCTTTACTGTTTATGAATGTTGCTATATCGGCATTTTGTTATCTATCTGTCCCATGCTCTCTCGCCGACTTTGCTTTGTCTCCTTCATATTTCATCTCACGTTATTTACTGCTATGCTACATTCTCAATCATTTATTGCTCTCTCTATTCATGTTCTTCTCCTTTGCGCTTGACTTTCAATCTTTTGCATTCCATCTTCGATCATTTACTACTCTGCTTTAATCCTATTCATTTACTGCTCCAACTTCCTGCCTTTGTATTTACTCACTTTCTTTGCTGATGTTTGAGTGGTTGCTTTTTCATATTTAAGGCGGCGTTTATAGTGCTCCAGGTATTACTCATAACCTTTGCCTATAGCCATTCACTATTTGTTACTCAGTGTGGAGATATTCATTTTCTCTGATGGTATTAATGTATGTGGTTTGTGCTTTATTGTTTTTCTTCATGAATATTGCTAATCTATGTCCGCTTTTTTCTTCTATTCTCTTTTCTTTATGTGGCAATGATGATTGGGATGGATTTTGACATCTTGAATTTTATCTAAACTATCCCAAAACTACTGTGATTGGGTTTATCTCACTTGCGTTATGATTTTGTCTACCTCTTTCCATCAAAATTTCTATATTCTATCTTCTTTCCTTTTGTAGTGTACTTTGATCCTTTTTGTTTTTTTGAGTCATATTTTCATTAAACATTTATTTGGACACATATCAGTCATGTTTTTTCTCCTGCCGAATTCTTCAAATTTTCCTATTTCATCTTAAATTTTTGGTGACTTTAACTTAGTTTGGCATATTGGTCATTTTTTCTTGTTGGTGGGTTTATCTATTTATAAAGCATCTCCTTTTTTCTTTTTCATACATGTTTATCTTATTTTAATATAGTTCTTTGGCTATTTTCGTTCGGGAAAATTTTTTCCGTTGTTATACTTGTTGTGTTGGTTTTGTCCCGATTTTCAATATTAAAAAGAAAGGATTTGATGAGTAGTTTTTATTATGGTCTGCTCATGGTGTTAAACTGTTTTTAACCTTCTCTTCTCTCTCTTTTTAATAATTGAATCAAAGCGTATTTATTTATATAGTATGGTTTTGAGGTTTTCAATTACTTTCCATTTTCAGCATTTGTGCTTTTATTTCTTTTCTTTAATTTGAGTTATTTATATTGCTATTTTTTTTTTTCCTTACTTCTTCCTTTCCTGTCCAGTAGCTTATTGGTTTTCTTTTGCCATACATTCCAATTGTATAGTCTTTCTTTGAGTCTTTAACCCTTGCATCTGTTTTTGAATTGGATATTTTTGGGTTTTTCTGTTTTATAAATTCTTTTTACAATTTTCCTCTTGATCACTTATTTTGTCCTCTGTTTTTGGACTGGATCTTTTTCGTCACTCTACTACAGGTAAAGTCTTGCCCCTTATTGTTTCTTTGATCATTTTATTCCCTTACCTTTCCTCTGTTATTCGGTTTTAAGCCAAAAGGAGGGGAGGTCTGGACTTCTATTTATTATTTTTTTCCTATTGTGATGAATACAATATTTTATCATGTTTTTGTGCTTTTGTGTTGTTACCATCAGTATTTTTCATTTTATAAAAAACAAATAGGCATCCACAACAGTCACAATTATAGATCAATCACATTCATTGCATTTTGCTGAAAGTGTTAGATATCTGAGCTACAATTACTAAATCAAAGTATTGTTATAAACTATTTATTTATTCATTCAGTTAATCATTTTCTTCTCAATGTTTCAGCACTTCTTTTTTCTTTTGCTATAAAATTTATATAATCAGATCTTATTGTGAAGAATCGTTAATTTGTTTGTTTATCTATGAAGGAAGTAGCAATGGGACATAAAGCTTTACGTTCATTTCTTTGTTTGTACATAATTTTGTTTATGTATATTTTTTATGTTATTAATCTGTTTTCTATATAATTGTGTTGAGCATTATCAATTTTAGGTTTTCATATATGTACATATATATAACGAAAAGCAAATAATATAACATAATATACAGACCTTTTTAGTGGACCTTTAAAGAAATATATGTATATATATGTGTATATATATTAAAAACTCCTAACCTCCTTTCTGATATAACAATCTTCCCACAGTAACACGCGGTAAAAAACTAGTAAAGTATCTTAAAATATGGGTCTTTTTATGATGTCAGGGTGCTTTATTCCTGCACCGCACTAAGAGATATGAAGATTTGTAAAATTTTACGTTAAAATTGTAAAATCGAATGATAAAATTATAAAAGTTATGATAAATTTGTGAATTTTAAAGGAATATGATAACCTGTGAATTTTACGTTAGAACTTACAAATTTGAATGATTCATCGTATATTTTTAAAATTTACAAGTTTATCGTAATTTTTACAACTTTATCTTTTGAGTTTGTAAATTATAAAGTAAAATTTTACAAAATTTCATATCTCCCAACATGGTGTCGAGAAAAAACATCCCAGCAGCATAAAAGTTTCTCAAAAAACATATGCAATTTATGGTGGAAAGAAATTTAACTATTAATGTCTTTTTCTATTTAAGGAATGAGTAAGAATAAATCATGTGATATTAAAAAAACAACAAAAAAGATTTATCTGAAAAAAGAAATTAGACATGATTATGATCAAAAAGTTGTTGAAGACATCAAGCTGAAAATTTGAGAATTATAAATAAATGAACATAAAACATAAATCATACTCTATTAAGAAGAGAGTAAATGCCCATTTAGTTCGCTGATTTGAGTTTTTAATTCGAGTTGAGATGTAATTTTATTTGAGTTTTTTATTGTAATAAAAAAGTTAGATATGACTGTTTTTAAGAGCTTTTTATTGTAGCAAAACTCAAATTTTAAATTCGAATCGGTGAAATGAACAGAGTCAGAAAGATTGACTTATCTAAGTAAAGAAAAAGATTCTAATCAGTTGAATAATAAGGCTGACACCAACACAGAGGCATTGGAATGTTAAATTCTACTGAGGTAATTGTTATTTAGCTGAATGAGGAAGTAAAAGAATGTTGTTTGGATCTTATTTCTCTCATTGACTGTTTAGGATAAAAATTGGTACTAGAATTGATGTTTTCAATACTATTTTTCTTTGAGAAAGTTATAATAAATTACAATTTTCTTTTGAGTTAAATTTAGGAACTTTTACTGGTAGTCCCTATAAAAATGAACTACTGATAGTATTTTACTTTTCAACCGTTAAATTTGTATTAGAATATGTTTGTTTTGCATAGTTTTTCAATCGGACATGATTTTGACCAAATCCAATGGTTAAAAACTAGAATTACTAGTAGGGCAGACTACTAAAGGAACTCTTATAAATTTATCAGAAGTCTCTGAACTTTTTTCCCTTTATATATAATTAGTCATTGTACTAAAAATTGTTATATCTTAAACCTTAAACTCTTTAACTTGATTTGTGTACGTAAGAGAAAAATATTATAACAAAAAAAGTTGAATTTAAATTTTTATGAGAGAAAACACCGTAGCAATTGAACTTTGTGAAAATAATAAGGCTAAGGGCCTGTTTAGTTCGATGATTTGAGTTTTTAATTCGAGTTGATATGTGATTTTATGTGAGCTTTTTACTGTAGTAAAAAGTTAAATGTGACTGTTTCTGAGAGTTTTTTACTATAGCAAAACTTGAATCGGTGAAATGAACAATGTCGAAGTGTTTCAAATATAGTCCCTTAATTATATTCCCTTAAATTTTAGATGGAAAAAGTTAGGTAATCTTATAATTTCACCTCAATGAATGGACACTTTAGTAACATTAGTATAAATGAACCAAAAAATAAAAAATAAAATTAGAGTTGGTTTTTATTATGTGACGTTTATTTCAAGGGTTCTGTTTAGTTTAGGATCATAGTTTTTAGTTCTGTTATAGTGTTTTTCTCTCATAAAGAAATTGAAACTTTACGTTAATTTCTAACTCATTATACTTCAAACTTTACTCTTAAAGATATATTTCCTCTATAATTCTTTTTGTATTTCTTTTTCCTAATTCCCAACTATGATCTATTTATGCACATAAATAATACTAATTCATTTATTTAATAAATTATCATTTATCCAACTCATAAAAATGATAAAATAATAAATTACATTCAATTAACTAAAATACCCCATTTACTACATATTTAAAGTAACCAAAATCATAAAAATAATTAAAAAAAAGATAAGTACAAAAGGAAGAATTCTTGTTTTTTTTATTATAGCGAAAAGGAAGAAATTTTGATCAAAACTATGAACTTGGAGTAAAAAATAGGAATTAAAAAATATTGTGCGGGTGTTTTAATTTTTATCAAGAAAAGTGAAAAAAAAGGGGAATAGCACAAATTTTTTTTTTCTTTTTCTTGTGCCAAGATATTGCAAGAGAATGGTGCAGAGTTGGATGCCATCCTTGTGCCAGATCTCCTTCGGAGCGCAATTTGTTTTTTCTTTCTTTATTAAACTATCCTATTTTTTTCCTCTTTTATTTATTTTTCTAGTCTCTCCTTTTTACATTCTTATCTTTTTTTGCACTACTATACATTTTTTTTTTCTTCTCTCTAAATTGGCTCTCATAAATATACTTCTTTTTAATTTATTGTTTAAATAATTTTTTTTCGTACATATCCCTGTCTATTTTTCTTTAAAATCATGTTCTCATGATAAAAGGTTTTCTTAGTAAGTTTATTTTTTTAATTTTCATTCTTTTTGCTCTCCCTCTCTTTTCGTTTTTTGTTTCTTTCCTTTTTTTTTATTCTTATCTTTTTTGTCCTATTTTATATATATTTTTAATTTTTCTAAATGAGACTCTAAAAATATGGTTTTCATTTTCTTTAAAGATTTTTGGTGTTTTAGCTTTGTTTTGGTTAACTGGGTATTTGATTTCGTAAGTCTTTTGAATTTCTGTTTGGTGTTGTGCTATTAAAATGGGTGTTTTAAGTTTGTTAAAAAAATATATATATACTTTTGGTTAATGTATATCATCAGATTTCATTTAATAGAGAAATTCATACATTTTTTCAGTGACATTATATTTTATTCACAAAAATTCCCTAAATACCCTTAAAAAACTGAGGTTCTAAATTATAAAACAAACAAACAACCAAACAGCCATTGATTAAAACGGGTCGCGAAGGAGGGGACTGCGCAAAGGAGATCTGGGTTGGGAGGGATGGGGCCGCATGAGGAGATCTGTACAATTATAAATTTCTTCTGTTTCTGTACAATTCTTTTGTTTTCATCACTTCGTTGTTTTATGGTTCTACAACGTTTTAGAATTGGAAAGCATAGTTGATTATATATAACAATTCTAGCGTACTGGTTTGATTATGTTTGTATAATTCGTTTGGGTTTGGGGAAATTTACAGAGAAGAGGAATGAGAAGAAGATCAGGGAGCAGCAAATGGGTGGGGCTTTTTCTTCATTTTTCTTTTCAAATATGCTTTTTGGGTTTTCTAATTATTGAAATTTCTTTAGACGTTTTTTTTAACCTTTTAGGGGTATTTTAGACATTTTAAGGTCAAAATAGAGTGTTGACCAGAAAAAAATGTATGAATTTGTCTATTAAACTTAATGTGATGATATACATTTTGATGAGATCCAAAATTGAAGGTAGACTTTCTTAATAAACTTACAATACAATGTATAAAAACGTACACAACCATATTAAAATTTTCACTTTCTTTATGCTACTATTTTTTTTTTTTTTTTTTTTTTTTTTTTTTTTTTTTTTTTTTTTTAATACAATACGAATTGAACCGGCAACCCCCATGCAAACTCACCAGCCCTAAGAGGTCTTAAAGCTTTTTTGGAGCTTGAGATGGAAAATATTGAAATCTAGATATGCACTTTCGCAGCAACAATTTTATTTTTATTTTTTTTCATGACGTTTAAGAACACAAAACTGCCATCTCCCAAACTCCCACTCACCTTGGTTGCATACTTTAATTTGTAACCGAGTGTGAATTTACTGCTAAATTAATCTTGCAACCGCACCTTAGTTGCATTTTTAATACTATGCCCAAGGATCCCAATTATTTAAATTTTAAAGTCATGAAAGCTATAATGCGGAATTCATCGTGAATGCAAAAGAAAAAACCACAATAAATAGAGAGAAAAATTATTAACAAGAATAAAGAGGCCCATATATTTTCAGGATTAATTGTCTTACAAAATCATGGTACGAAATGGACCAACTGCTATGATAGATTAGGCTAATGAAAGCGAAATACATGCATTTATCACCAAAGAATCAATACATCAATACATACAGAAACGTCCTTAAAGAAACAGAATACTAAAGTTAGAAATATCCATCTGTGAGTTTGCCTACAACAAATCAAGTGGGAACAATGTTATCTCTAACTCTGTTACCACTTGTGTCCAAACTTACCGTTTTGGTAAAAGGACAAAAGGGCAACTGAGAACCTAAAATCTATACACTGATAAAAATACAACATACTGTACCATCAAAATGAAAGGAGTCTCATCTTTGCAGCTGATCAGGGGTGTGGTTGCTGGTAATAGATGAAGATCCCGTCCTACCGCTCAGTATCCCATTATCGACAGGTGGAGCCGTCCCCCACTTGCCCTCTGCCTCTGTAGGCTCGATCACTTTAACAGAACCATCTGTCAGTCCAACAGCAAATTGGTTGGCCTCGTGTGGATGAGCAGCAACAACGAGTGGGTACACAGCTTGGCTTCTACAAATAGCACGTCGAATGATTAGTCACAGAGAGAGAGAAACAGATACTAGACGATAAGTATTGCAAGTTCGTAATGAAACCAATGACAAAAAAGGTGAAAAGAAGCAGGAAAAGAATCGGTATATGGTGATATATCAGCAATTTTGAAACCGGTTAGTAAAGGCAGCCACTGATTTATGACCGAAGAGAACTGGTTAAACCTTCAAAATGAAGGTGAGAGTTAAGGGTATAAATCACGTCCAAATAAATTGTTAAGAATGTGAGACGCAGGAACAACATTTCACGCCTTGAGATCAATTTTATGATTACTGCAAAAACAGCAAAAACAGAATTCGAAATTTTGAGCGTATTCCATGTTATTTCAACTTACCCATTCAAGACTGCTTGGGAAAAGTATGCTGATGGTGCAATACGGCACCTTAGTCTCAAGCTATCAGGATCAAATACCCCAATATTACAATCACAGAAGGTAGCATAAATAAGTTGACTGTTACAGGAGAATGCTGCGTAAGATATGGGTGCAGAAACACCGTCTTGTGGGAGCCACTGAGATTGAAGAACAGTAACTATTAGTAAAAGATGTTTTACCACTTGCAGAACCACATTCAAGTAATTCTTGTACCTGTCGAATGCGATCCATCTTCGCAGCATCATATATTGCTAATTGAGTCTCATGAACTACCAACAAACGAACTTGGTCTGAATGGAATTGCACTCGAGTTTCCCCTACAGTAGCCTTTCCAGCAGGTACCTGAATTGCCACTGATCTCCTCTTCTCCCATGTATCAATGCTCCACACGCAAAGCTGCAGAGTACAGTCAAGTGTGAGTCACAAAAAAAAGGAAAAAGCTAATTCCGTAGAACACACTAATGGGTAAGCAAGACGTTATACAAAATGAAAGCCAACATTAGAACGCTCGCCTACTATTGAACCAAAGGGCCATGAAAATGCGTATGTGTAGCAGTGCATGACAACATAAAGACAAAGGAAATGTAAAGGATGCCACTTACTTGAGCATCTGCACCTGACGAGACTAGAATGTTGAGACTAGTAGAGAAGGCTAAACCAGCAACCCGCTTCTGGTGACCCTTCAATTTGGATTTTACCTGGAGAATAGACAAATAACATTTGTTTTATTTTATTTGTCAGCATGCACATCATGAATAGTCTTTAAAGAAAAAGGAAAAGAAAAGGAAGTGGAATTATTTGGAGTGATACCTCATCCACTCTGACATTGTAAATGTGGATTGTTGAATCCTCCATTCCGATTGCTATGATGTTATTATCTTGAGGATGGAATGCTAGGAAGGTGGAAGCAGGGGGAGGTGGCATAAAGGTTGTCATTACCTACATCAAGCACATTCATATCCAACCATAAAAACAGAATTCCAAAATTTGCAATACAAACATATGCGCACATACCTTGAATGTCATCATGTTAAACAATGAAACTTTTCCACCACAAGCCGACATTACATATGAATCATTCTTTGAGAGTGCTATGCAAGGGACTGCTTCTTCAAGGTTGACACCTGAGACATCATTAGTCATAAGAAGACCACTGTTTGGTTGCCAGTGCTGAGGAACAACACTAGCAGTGGCCTTTAAAACCTCACCAACTTCAGAATATTGCACTCACAAAGCTTAGAAGGGAGTAAAGAAAATAATTTAGCTTTCTCATGGATAGCTATTACCTGTCCACCCGGATTTTGTTCATTGCGGACCCACTTCCATAGCTTCTGAACACCATTTGAGCCAAGAGCCAAAACACCGACACCAGAATTTGTATACAGAAGTCGGACAACCTAAAAGAGATCTAAGAATTCAAGCGCTATATAGAAAATAAATTCTAGAATAGCATAAGATAATCAGATAGGTAACACACATTGCTGGAAGTATCGGTGCTAAAAGAGATTTAAGAATTCAAGTGCTGTATAGAAAATAAATTTTAGAATAGCACATGATAATCAGATAGTTGACACACCTTGCTGGAAGTATCGGTGCTGTCAGGCATGGTAACTAACCGACACTGAGCAGGATCCAGAATTTCAGTCAACTGCCAGGGTTTGGCTTTATCACTTACATCATCTACAGTTCTTGGTTTTTCCACCCCTCTTACCATAGGATCAACTCCATTCTAGAACATAAAACAAAAACAATGAAATCAATACTTTGCCAGCAGAGAATATACCTGACTAGATGAAGTAAAATCACAAACATAGAAATCTCATCAATGGCTCAAATTACATTCTTTGATAAATCACTTGGCTTTCTTCATGAGGAGGAATATCTTTTATATTGCTTTATAGTTAAAGGGATTCAAAAGTTGTCCATGGATCACAAGGGATTTTTAAAAATAAAAAGATGCTCCCTCATTTGCCTAGCAAACCTTGTAGTAATAGTAACTTAACATCCTAGAAAAGGGAAACTGAGTATAATAGTGGCTGCTTATATATATTAAATTACTGCCTCGATTTTATGGCAAAGAGGGCATGTAAAATATACTGCTCTCAGGTAGAATCTCAAAAAGTTAAATTAGATCATAAAATGACGTACAATAATTGGAGTAGGCCTAACAGGGGAACTCCTTTCCACTTTGCAGTTGACTGGACTAACATGTGGGATAGCAGATGAGCCAGAGACCTAATACACGAAATGAACAAGTCAATAAACATCTCAAAAAATAAATTTATAGAACAAAAAATTAACCCAAGTAAAAGATAAATTAATACCTTTACGGCACCAGCATCTATGGGAGATCTCAGTCCTTCAAAAGATGTCGACTCATTAGCTTTCAAAGTTTTAAGACCAACAGCGTTTGCAAGGATTTTAAACCCATTTTCTGCTGTAGTAACAGCGAGAAGATTTCCTTCCTTATTGAACCTTAAGCGGGGAAAACTCTGGAGAATTTAATGAAACAATGTAAGGGTCTTATTTACTAAATATGATGTTTCTCAAAGCACAGAAAACAATTATCAGTATACACACCGGAAGTCCACCATCGGCATCTGTGCTTGTGAGAATGCTAACATTATCCATATCCCAAAACTTTATCTGGCTATCTTCACCTGCAGCCAAAAAGTGATTTTGCATAGTGTCGAACTGCACAACACCAGTAGACGACTTCTTTCTAAATCCAGTATATGTTCGTTTTATTGCTCCTTCACTTTCATTCCACTCCACAAGAAAAGAGTCTCCATCTTTACTTGTCCCACAAGAGAACAGTCTAGAAACGAAAGAAACAGCAAAATATTTAACATTTTTGTAATAATGTCAAACAACATGATATAATGATGACATCATGATGCTGAAAGTTCTAAACAGCACCAAGACTACAATGAATTAGTAAAAACCGCATTTTTTTGGGAGATTAAAAACTGAGAAATAAAATTTAATAAAAAAAGAGGGGGCACTCAGACAAAATTTTGGAAAAAAAAATCCTAGAAACCACGAGAAAAACCTCAATCTAAAAGAGTAAAAAGAAGTTAGTAACTTTAAAACAGAGAAGAACAACTGGTTTGGTGATGATCGATTTGAGAATTCATTTCCTTACCTACTTCCATCGGCACTATAAAGCATTGTAGTACACCAATGCCCAGGAGCATCGTAGTCAACTCTGGAACCCATATTGTCATATAACCAAGCCTTTATCTTCCCATCAATAGCAGTAGAGAATATGAACTGCAAAATTTAGAAGTAAACAATAGTCTTTTCCCGACAATAAAGTATCACAGACATGGATCTATTATAACTAACATAAAGCTGCCATTCTGATATCAAAGGCAGCTGCAATTTCGACCAGCAGCTGCCATGATGATAACTAATGCCAAGGCAACATAAGTAGAAAATTGGTGGCAAACCCAACATTGATTGGGAAAAAAGAGAGCTTTACAACGGAAAGCCTGAAGAAGCTGTGCATATACTCTATCCTCAAAGAGTACTACCAAATTTAATGACCAAAAAGACTTTCCCCCCAAGCATAATATACCTGAATATTCTCCTTGTGATGAGGACAGATCGAGTATACCGGAGCTTCATGACCTTCAAAAGTAAATAGCTTCCGACCATTTAACTCCCGCACCTGTTACATTTTATCTAGATAAGTGGAATATCACATATAAAGTCAATCTTGTAAATAAATTTATAAATTTACCTTTATTAGCTTATCATCCCCACAGGTAACAACACACAGTTGTCTATTTGGATGAGCAAAAGCCAAGTCATTCACGCCACCAGCGTGAGCGTCAATCTATGCACAGGGAGTACCCCATGTCAAACATAACAAATTTAGACTACCCAGATAACAGATATATCACGATCACAGTAGCTTACCTCTAAATGCTCGCGTATATCATTTGGTCCTGAATAACCATACAATTGTATCAAGTGCTTGGTAAAGGCAACTCCTGTAACAACAAAGAGGGTAAGATCCATGAACTGAAAGCAGGCACAGGTTGCCGATATCATCATTCATTTCTTATAGCTATACTTACCCACAAAATTTCCATCTGGACTCCATGTGACCCGACTGACAGATATTGGTGCATCTTTGATGGTAGCAGCCTGTAAAAAGTCAACTTTAAGACTCCAACAATGATTACTTCAAAGTCTCACAAACCCAACTACAAGTATCCCACAAAACTACACGCCCAATGCAGTGCTTTGCCATATCATGAGGAGGCGCTACTTAATGTTATCAAGTAGGACATCAAGAAATGAATACCAGACCATGGTACAACAGAAGAAGACACAAGTAAAGATGGAAAACCTGAAATGCCAATGAGCAGGTAGAAATATCCCAGATCTTGAACGGCTTCGAAACTAATTTCTCTCGCAATCCAAGTTCCCATAGAGTTACTTCTCCATTATTGCAACCAACTGCTCAGCAGGCATATAAGTTAGGACAGTTTTCCTTTAGGAGGATACCAGTTATAGCTAAACATATATCCATCTTATTTCAAGAAAAAGAAATTACAAACAAGATGACTGACAACTATACCTAGGAGCAATGTATGGTTAGAAGGATGAAAATCCATGCTTGTGACATTAGATCCTTGGTGCAAAGAAAAGGCGACGTTTCTGGGCAGGTCATCCAGTGACCATGAAGCTTGCTGTCGAGGCGTAGGATATGTGACCTAAATATAAAGTAGCATGTGGCCTACCAGCATTAGTTATTATTGCAAATAAAAAGTCTTGATAGCGTACAGGCAAAAAGCGAGGCATGAAGGAACACTTGCAAAACAGGAGATCTAGAGAAGATATTCCATGTCACCTCCTCAACAGATTGAGCTGGCCGAAGTCGTTTCATCAGTTGTTCATGGTCAGGACTTTGGTAATCAACCATACCTGGCGCAGCTGGAGGAGTTCTTGGGCGTTTCAAGATTGAAACTAACAAAAAGAGAGTAGTAGTTAAGGTTACAACATATACCTACGTAGAATATAACCACTGATAGCAAATCTAGACTCAAGTTCTAACCTTGATTCTGTGGAACAGGAATGGATGATGCAGTAACAACAGCGGCTTGGACAGATGAAGAGGCGGAGGCATTGGCCATCCAACCTGCTAACGCATTAGCATTAGCCGCAGCTGCAGCAGGCGGAAAGGGCTTTACACAAGAAAACAATTTTCTGTCAGTCCACGTGTTTACAGACCCTCAAGTAAAAATATAAAGGGAGGAAGAATTTAATCCAAACTGTAGAGATTCAAGAGGGTATACTCCATGAGCTCCAAGTGAAGTATAAGCGGCAGGTTTTGCAACTGCAGCAACAGGAAGATTGACAGGTGTGGGTGCAAGGGGACCATTAGCAGGCGTACAGGTATGGTCCTGGAATAAAGTCTTAATGTCTGGGTTTGGCCTGGGATTCTTGCATAACTGATGCTGCCAGTTCAAACTGCACAAACATAGTCATACATCAGATATGACAGGAGTACTGGATTAGAACAATAATCACCATACATAAACTAGACCACTAGTTGATCTTATCAAACGATACTGTAGCCTGTACCAATCAAGTGCCATGCAAAATTACTATAGAGAAACCAGCTGGAAAAGATCAGGAAACTTTTTTCTAGCCGCCCTATCATGCATACCTTTGATTGATGAGAGTCCGCAATCTTGATGCCTTTAGATGTGGGAAAGCAAGCTTATCGCGGAAAAGTGGATTTGCTTCTATAAGTTTTTTAAGCTCTATCAACATAATGCTACGAGCTGTTTTGGTGTCACCATACTTTGACAGCTGCTCATTTTCCCTGGCATTAGTCAAAGAGAACAGAAATTAGCTAAAGCAAATATCTACGTAGTGCTGGAGTTTCTTGAACTACAAATCAGTGACACTAAGCAGTCTTCTCTAAATTTCAACTTTACACTATTCTTTTTCTAGGTCCAATTTCTCATCACTTTAACAGATTGCAAGGTGAAGCAGTTTATCACTGGTCTGTTTGAAATAAACCACTAACAATTTCAAAACAAAAATTACCTAAAATTGCCAAGAGTCAGAAGCTGAGTAATTTCCTTGTAAAGATCCTCATTAAATGTCGAGAACACTTTCAAATCATGAACTAATATGTCGACAGCCTTTGCCTTGTCTTGCCTGTAAAATTAAACACGATCAAGGAAACTAGGATTAGAATCTTCCGCAACAAGAAAAAATCAGTTAGAACTTCCCAACTGAAGTAGATTGATTAATACCGGTCAAGTGCTTCAAGATATTTCTGCTTCCTAATTTCAAAAAATATCTTCATCGAGTATCTGTTATCATCAACTTTGGTAAATCCTGACAGATACTTCTCAACTTCGTCCCATTCTCCGGCTTGAACTTTCTCCTCGAAGTACTTCATGTTGAAGTAAAACCCAGACTCCTTCTCAAGTCTACAAAATAAAAGTTTTGAAATTCAAGTTTAAGTGATAAAGTTCATAACACCAATCAATGCAAGCCGACTTAAAGTAATTTCAACAAAATCTAAAGGAAACAAAAATCAAAGCTCCAAAGTCATAGTTTACTAAAAGAAAACCGCAAGTAACATAAGGCAAAACCCAACTTACTAAATAAAAATTCATTTCATATCTTTTTCCCATCTTACTAACAACTGAACAGCGTTCTATAAGAGTAGGAAAAAAAATCAACAGAAAATAAGGATACTCTAATTTTTCATCATCTATACGCCGATAAAACAAAACCCCACCATTTGACTAAGCCTAATTCCATAGTCTGCTCAAAAAAGTTCTTACTCTTTTTAACAGTTTTACATACATGTAAGAAATTCATTTTAAAAATCCAAGAGAAAAAACTTTTTTTTTTTCTAGCCAAAAAAAGTATAAACATTTGTAATTTACAAATTGCCCTCAATAAAGAAAATTTTTTCTACCAATTTTTTTCTGTATTTAAAAGGTCTTCTTCTTTATAGCAAAAATGAAACATGTAAGAAAAGGAACCAAAACTAATTTACAAAATTCCATCTATAACTAAACAGAATATACTTTAATTCAACTAACAAATATATAAACGCGAAATAATCAACACTCATAATTATCTCTATCTAGAACCGACAAATATAAATAACAGCGCAAAACTTCAACAGAAACTGTAACGGCCAAATAGCTCAAATCATTAAAATCTTCAAATCTTCTCAGAAAGAAACCAATTTAATATCACAATAAAAACTTCATATTCACCAAAAAATTCACCCAAAATCACAAACGCGCATACAAAATAACAGCAGAGAAAAAAGAGACTTACTTGTGTACGGACTCCTTAAACTTCTCCTCATCGAGGAATTGGAGAATAAGAAACACAAGTTCTCTGCTCAAAGACGTCATTTTCGGGACTCAAATCTCAAAACCCCTCACCGAAACAAAGCCTAATCCCAACCGGAAAAAAAAAACCGAAAACAGAAAACAGAAAACGCAGAAGAAGCTAACGAATTCAAAGCGACGAAACACGAACAGAGCACGAATCAAGCCAAATTAGCCCCAGCTCGCGAACTCCATCCCAATTCTGAGCTCGGAAAAACCTCAAATTCCGAAAATCTCCGCGATTCCTAAGGATTATATAGCTCGAAGTTCGAGGATTTCTAGGGTTTGAAAGGCTGCGTAGAAGAGAAGAGAAGAGAGAGGAGAGAGGAGAGAGAAAGAGAAAGAAGAGAGAGACTTGGTCTCGCTATCTTCGATGCATTTGTACAGGGTGGGTTCGTTCTTTCTTTTTTTTTCTACTGACCTATCAGTGATATGTAGAAGTACATATCAGAGAAGTACGTTGACTTATCGCTCTGTTGACAGATTATCTTGCGTGCAATGATAGGAAAGGTGATAAGAAGATGTTACGGATTCGAAACCACTAATTCAAATATAGTGAATATTCGCAACACACGTCCAGTCGTCCCCACGCCCACACACCAACTCCTTTTCGTACTGTCGCTTTCGCGAGTTTCTTCGAGTCACTTTTTAAAAAACAAAAAGAAAAAGAGAGAGAGAAATGTTATTTCTCGCGTGACGATACGTGGAATTATATCGCAGTTTTCTCGTGAAGAAGATTACTGAAAATTTTTTGGATTTTGGAATGCGGGTGCATTGCACGCGCTGTGTTTGTTGTGTTGGGACCCACGTATTTTGTCTTTGTTGCCAAGGTAGTGACATGGAATTTCAATATGTAAGAATATGTTTTGTTTAAAATTAGAATCATGTAATTAGAATTATTTTTGATTTACGTGTATTTTTTATGAGAGAAAATACTATAACGAATCCTGAATTATGATTCAAATCATAATTTGAATTCTCCAACCAAACATCTCATAAGACTGATGACCTAAGTAATGAATGACATGGGTCTAGCAATTTAGAGAGAGAGAGAGAGAGATGAGTGTTTTTATGGTAGGGGCCTTGCCGGATTTGGTGATGTGTATTTTTATGATTCATGGATTAAAATTATTAGATTAGAATCATTTTTTATTTACGTGTATTTTTTATGAGAGAAAATATTTATCACGTCTCGAATTAAGGGTGATGATGTGGAGGCTCGATTAGGATTAAATGCACGATAATAATAAAGAAAGTACCCAACGAGCACCACACACTGAATTAAAATGAACTACAGGATCTCGTTACTGTACATACATGATATATAAATCAATTATTACAGTTACAGACATCATCCACAGTCTAGTAATCCAAGTACATGAGTTTACAGAATTTCCAAATTCTTACATTTGTACTCACAGGAGGATGACACAATCCTCTCCAAAATCAGGTGGTAGCAACTCAGCTACTCCGCATTGCTCCTAGAGTCTCCTGGGAGGGGTTAACATTTTTAAAACAATAAAACGTGAGCGAAAGGCCCAATATGATATATTTTGAAATAACTTGGTAAATAAATAAATAAGTAAATAAATGAGTAAATAAATGAATAAATATAGACATTCAGTTCCAACACAACAACTGGAACCTCACATCCTTTTTCTGAAAGGAATATAAACTAGAAATTATCGTATTATAGGCATCAGCAAGTAATTTATACAAATTACTTACACAACCAAGTGCACAAGCCTTCACGGGCCGGGTTTCGGGTTCTGCCCCCGAGGATGCACTCTCCACATCCTATCTAGGCCATCAGCGGGCTTACCGGTTCGTAAGATCTCTTTCATTAAGAAATCATTCATTAAACATTATGAAATCGTTATTATAATCCCACGAACTACAACAAGCCGTGGGTTCCGTGAACTACAACAAGCCACGGTTTTTAAAGATATTTTTCTTTTACAAACAAGTCCCTTTTCTTTAAAACATTTGCAAGGCCAAAATCCTTTTGAAAGTCAGGCTCACAAAGAAAAGGGATAGGAATCCTACCTCGAATTTACCAAACCTGTGGCTAGCGGCGCACTATCCCAGCTTCTGCTTCCTCAAGCCACTCAGTCCGAGTCCTCAGCTATCACTGTTACAAGACAATACTTTAGGATTCCAAACTCATTCCTAAAGTAATTCAGACTCAATCATATCCTTTAATTTCCTATTAGTGTGCCATAATCAATTTCATGTTTCAAATCATAATTCTAAGGGTTCTAATTCCCAAACATGGATTAAAGATGCTAATCCATCGACTCTAGGTCCCCAAATAAAACTAATTTAGGTCCTCCCTGAAAACAGGGGTCAAAACAACAATTTCAGGCCAAACAAGGTCAAACTCTGTGTACACCGGTCGACCGGTGACAGAGCAGTGCATCACCACCGGTCGACCGGTGGTGTGCAATCCGGTCGACCGAACCGGTCGATTGGTGGCCTCAGTGTAGTCCGGTTGACCGGTGAAGAACACCAGTGCGAGAAAACTCGTAGAAATCAGTTCAAAAACCTGCAAATTCAGTCCCAATTCACAATATCTTAAGGGACAATACCTGAATCCGGGTTCTAGGTACTAAAACAAGTCCAAATAACCAAAGATCTCCAATTTCTACCCTAGTTTTACTCAAAATCCATCAAAATTCGTTTCGAACCAAAAATAAGTTTTAGAATCCGAAAATTTAGGATTTCAAGAGAGGTTTTTCAGAAATCTTACCTTGAATCCTTTTCTTGATGTTGAAAACTCTTTGAAACTTTCATTTGGATCGAAATCTGGTTGATTTGAGACAAAACATGAGAGAGAACCGAGAGAGAGTGTGAGAGAACGAAGAGGAGAGAGAGAGAGAGAGAGAGAGTGGTCTGTGGGCACGGGAAGGAAGGAGAAAAAGAAAGAAAAGGAAGAAAAGAAAAAGAAAAAGAAATGAAAATAGACAGGTATCAACATTTAAAAAAAAAAACAGTCCAGAAATGCGCCCATACACACTTCTGGATTAAAATGAGATTACTGGGAATATTTAAATACCTTGGAATTATTTTAAATTACACGTCAGAAACATTTATTAATCAAAACCCAATTAATTAAATCAGATTAGGCACACTAATAATTCTTAATTATCTCAATTAATTCCATTTAATTCCTCGGGGTGTTACAATATTGTAGCGAACCATAAACCATGATTCGAATCAGAGAACGAATCCTTCAACCAAACGAGCTAGCGTTTGATAATTCGAGTTTTTAATTTGAGTTAAGATCTAATTTTATATAATTTTTTTTATTATAGTAAAAAAGTTATATGTGATTATTTTTAAAAACTTTTTATAATAGTAAAACTTGAATTCTAAATTCAAATCGGTGAAATAAACAGTACCTTAAATCTAATCAAAATTACATCAAAAAGAACAAATTGAAAAATTTTAAAAGTATGCCTTTAATTTTGAGAAAAATTTGGGTGTGTTTTTTTCCATAATTTGAATTAAGATGATTGGAATAAAGATCTTAATTTGAATTGAAAGTATATACACATTTAAAGTCAGGTTTAAATTGAGAATTTATTTGAGTTTTTGTTTAGTTATACTAAAATTTGAGTTGTAAATAGTAAAAGATAAAGGAGATGTAATTATTTTTATTTGGAATTTATTATTTAAGTAAGACAAAATAATATTTTAATTGTAGCATTTAACTTGAGTTGAAGGGTGGGAGTTGAACTTGAAAACGTAACTGCTGACTTGTTAATACTCGATTCTTCGTTCGAGTCATGGGGGATTGAACATAAAGTTAAGTTGGAGTTTGCACTCAAGTTGGCTTCACTCAAGTGAAGTGAAGCAAATGATCAGCCTCTTAAGAGACGTTTGGTTCATGGATTAGAATCATTTTCGATTTACGTGTATTTTTTGTGAGAGAAAATACTGTAACGAACCATGAACCATGATTCGAATCAGGGTACGAATCGCCTTACCAAACGTCACCATGAACTCACCTTTTAAATGCATTATTTTAAAATTTTTACTATTTATTCTTGATTAATAGTTAATTAAAGATATAAATCAAGTGTAAAAGAAAAAAAATTCAAGACTCATACATTCAAAGGGATATTTTCCACTTTATTCCTTTAATTTTACTTAAATATAACTTTTGCTCTTGAGCTTTTTAAAATCTAAAAACTATTCTTTGTGTTTTTTAAACTAGACAAAAAAATATCCCTTATTTTAACTTTTATGGTTTACTTTTTTAAAAAATGGTTAAATTATCCTTGAATATTTTATATACTATTTAAATTTGCGTTGAGCTTTCAAATATTTTTTTTTAAAGATTTTTTTAAGTGATTCTCTTAGATATAGGCATTCAGCAGGTAAAAAAAAAAAATTTACAGCATCAATTTGAACAAGTCTTTTTTCTTCTTTTTTCATTTTAAGAAGAAAATGAAATCTTAAAAAAAAAAAAATTCAAATTAGTAGAAATGTGCTATTCTAACAAGTTGGTTTGTTAGGCTCTATATTGAACAGTTATTTTTTTAAAGATTTCAAAATTTAATGTTTAGTAAACCAAATTGTTAGAATAGCCCAGTACTACTAACTTGACAAAAAAATTTACATTTTTTTTTTTTTGAGATTTCACTTTCTTCATAAAATAGAAAAAAAAAAGAAAAAAAAATCTTGTTCATATTTAGTGTTTTAAATTTCACACATTGCTGAATGACTAAATCTAAGATGATAAAAAAAAAAAAAAAAAAACAAAATTTAAGAGGAGTATTTAGAAGTTAGTAGCCCAGCACAAATTTGATCAATATCTTAAGACAATTTGGCCATTTTAAAAAATTAAACAAAAAGTTAAAATAATAGATATTTATGTCTGGTTTGAAAAACGTAAGTGATAGTTTTTGAATTTTAAAAAACTCAAGGTAGAAATTATATTCAAATAAAATTAAATGGATATTTTATGGATTTTCTCTAAAAAATTATACAATATTGAGATAATCTCATACGAATCAAACATTTTTAATATAGAACCCCTTTTTTTTCTGTGAAACTTTAACATATAGTTCGTAAAAATTTTTGTGACCGGAATTGTTGTTATAGCATTGGATAAGTTTTTTAACAATTGGTCTATGATTATAAACAATTATGTGACGTGACTTTAAATTTATTACATGGACATTCAAAAATTAAATAGTTGAAAAATTAATCCAACAGCTAAAATAATAGATTATATTGAAAGATAAAATGAATGTTTCTACCAGAAAAGTGTTGGGAATAATGTCCTAGAAGCATGAGATGTAATAGGATATTTATTATTTAATTAATAAAAGAGTTTATTCATCATTTTATGTGC